GAAGTGCAAAGGTGGGATTGGAATGAACAGCCCCAGCAACCGCAAGATAATGTCATGAATTTTTCACGGTCTTGTGCAAGCAACGGACTGTGTGTTATGAACTCCTCCGAACATCGAAGCATGCATTACTATACCTAGCATAGTGAGGCTTTCGCATAAAAGCCGATGATCGATTTGATCATGCTAGTGCCTGATATACGACGCTCTGTAATGGATGCTACAGTTAAGACAGTCGCAGAGCTATCAACCGATCGTCCCCTTGTTGTTGGGAACGGGGTGGGGGGGAGTACGACGAAGCGCGCAAAGCAGTAGCGAAATCAGTGGCCAAAGTGAAAGCACGACCCTGGGACATCCAGACTAGACAATCAAGGTAATGTGGCAGACCATCCGCCGCCACCAAGATAGAAAGAAGGTGCTGTAATCGTCTTTAAGGACAATTTTTCAAGCCCTCTTATAGAGGATGAGGACATACTTAAGTGATAGAAAAAGTACTTTGAGGAAGACTTTAACCAAAAGCAGCCATAACACAGTTTGCCGGATTAGTTTTTCAGTAGATGAAGTCGCTGAAGTTGTACAAAGCATTAAAAGTGGCAAGGCTGCTGGTGTCAATGAAATTCGCCCTGAAATGCAACGGCTACGGGGAAGACACCAGCGGACTGAAGAGCAAAGGATGTAACACACCTTTAGAGAAGGGAGACCATATGGAGCGTTTCATATTGTCGGAAACCTCTTGGAAAAGTGTACGCGTACGGAATGTGGTAGAAAGGACGCATCGTGGAATAGTCGAAAAGATACTAGACGAATAATGAGGCTTCAGTTCAGACTGAAACACCTCTGGCCATGCCTTTGCCTTACGCTAGATTGCTGACAATTTTTGGAAGTCTGCTCGTACGGTTAATGCGTGCTTTGCTGACTTACAGAGAGCCTATTACCACATCTCGCATATGAAACTATGGTCCTACAAACATATGGGATCTACGGTCAGTTGCTGGGAGCTGTTCAGTTGCAATGTGTCTGTATCAAGTGTTGGATCAGAGAAAATGATGTTAGGTAGAGACCTGTCTGTTTTGTCCCTTGTCTTCGACAACGCTTTGTCCTGTCCCCTTTCTTGTTTGTGTTGTGTATGGACAGATTATGGAAAGGTTCGCAGCCGAGTGCGACGTACATGTGATGATGACTAAAATAAAAAACCTAACGCCTCGCCTGCCCGCCGCTCGTTGTAGATAAACGGAGAAGCAATGGAACACGTGGAGAAGTTATGCACCTTTCGGTCGTGTTTACTGGCAATGGGAAATTGGAAGAATAAACTGATCGGCGAATTGGAGTAGCCAGTGAAGCTCTGTGTGAAGTAGTCCGAACCGTTGTGACCAAAGCAGGGCTGAATCTAAGGACCAGGTCATGTGTGTTGAAATCCATCCTCATCCCAGGGCTCACCAACGGTCATGAATAATGGACAATGAGTGAAACAAATTTACTCTCATGTACTAGCGGCTGAAATTGGCTCTCTGAGACGAATCGCTGTGCTCAAGACTCTCCAGATTGAAAAGTCACAGCTACGAT